ACCCGGACACGGCATGCTATACACCAGAGCATGTCCGTGGTCACCACTGGAGGGGCGCTGTCCTGCCTCAGTGTGACCCCTTCGGCCGTGCTGGCGTACAGCTTGGCTGTGCTGGCCGGCACCCTTACGCAAAGGGGTTCATGGAGCGGCAGGGGTTCCGACTCCCTCGTGAGCCGGAGTGCTCCTAAGTTGAACCCGGTGCGCATATGCAGCCTTTCCAAGACATCCGCTGCCGTCGAATGTCCTGGCACAGGAAGGCGAATGACCTGCAGATGGCTGCCGGAGCGGCATTCCGCATCGATACGCCAAATCCAAACCGCAGGAGGGAACGGATTGGGTGGCGGATCCCTAGCGGCTGAGGGGGCCGCGGACGGCTCCGGGGCTGCTGCTGCTGCTGGAAGACAATGAGCACTCGCATGCGAGCACCGGCCTACGTGCTACCTGCATGTTTGGAATGGGACTGTTTGTTGCCTACCGCCGAAAGTTTGTCGAAAAAATGATGCTATGAACTAAAGACCCGGTTGTCGTTAGGAAGGGTTCGCTGCAAGAATGAATGAAGCATGCATGAGTATAAGCCTACAACTGTCTCGGGGAGCAGGCACTTCTCGATTTGCAAGGCAGGAGGGCGGGTGCCGACTACGATCGAGATGAGCTCCCTCACGTCCTAGAGCCTGTCCCAGGGAGCCAAGGATTTCGGTCCTAACTCTAGCTGCCGCGGGCGACAGTTGGGGGCGCACCATTGTGCGGCAGAAAGCTGATCCTTGATAGTGGTCAGGAGCAGAGGGATGGTCGGGAAGTCGGTCAGCCTGCGCGCAGCTCTTTCAGAGCCAGATAGAAAAAACTTTCAGCATCATAAAGCCGATCAGCACTACCCTGAATGGCTGGGTTAGGCGACCCACGTCGCGACGCAAGTTGTCTACACCCGAAGGTGCGGGCCAGAGGACCCAAAAACGACGAACGACGATGGGGTGCTGCGCCTGAGGACGCTGCGGGCCAGAGGACCCGTCTTGCAGTGGTGTGTGAATCTTAGGGTAAGTGTTCGCATATCCTTGAAAGGGTGATGAGGTGAGGAGAAAGACAAGAGAAGAAGAGTCGCAGCGAAAGACCTGTAGTATCTGTGATTCCCGGGCGTCAGAGTTCTGTATCGCGGTGTCGTGGCTGTTGCGCGAAAGCGGATAGACATGACACTACGCTAGAACCGACACCATTGTGCAGGGCTGTCGTTTATGGTTTAATAGTGGTTTCGAGGTCCCATTCATGTTCCCCCACGACGCGGATAGAAAAACGTGTGACGGTGCAGGGGGGAAGAGGTAGTACGTGTGAGAGGCGGTGAGTGTCGATCAAACCTGTGCATATACCCGCGTGTCAGATTTGGAATATCGGCGCCCACCCGCTATTCCAGGACGAAGAAACACACCCGAGGAGACACGTTGTTTGACCGAGTCCCCAAGGAAAAACCCTGTGTCAACGCCTGCGGGTGCTTAGGTTTCGACGCCCTTTGTGCATCTCGCCTTCCCCTGTATAGGAGAACGCCCTGACAAGTCAGGGAGTGGCGTTTGCCCCACCGGGAGAAAATTATGATTGTGTAACGACTAACGGGCTGACACACGGTTCTCCCGTCCAATGAGCGTAGTGCATGTTCACTCGGAGATGAAATCTGTGCACTGGCCCAAAAAGTTCTGACGAGCATGCACTTTGTCGGGGGTGGCCGCTGAGTTGTCTGAAGGTGGGTTACCAGGGGGCACCGCGTGGAGGTGTGATGCATGCCGAGAACCGGTTGGCCTTCCGGTTCCCCCCCCGAGTGTACAAGCTGGGTGAACTTGCACTGCGAGTCAGCATGACACATGACGTGCCTTGATGTCGTCCAGGGACCCGCCTCGGCGGCCTCCTGGGAGTCAGCCTTTAGGCGGAGGTTTCTTGCCCATGAAGACCTGCTGACCCTGCTGCAGTTCGGGTTCGCGGCCTTTCGTGACCTGATGAAGGCCTGATACTGAGCTTCCTGCTCACTGCTGAGGGCTATCGGGGACACACACTGTCCTGGGGGGTGCCTTCCCCGGCCCTGGGCCTGGTCACGAGGGGCTCGGCTTCCCTCTCTGGCACTTTTGCCCTTTCCTTTTCCTTTTTTTTTCTCTTTTTTTTCTTCTCGAAGCGGCGAAGCGTCCGCGGCCCGTAGGCCCTCGACATGCACCTAATTAACCGCGCTTTGCACGGTCATCCTCCTTTGGAGGGCATCGCCCGCAGGCGGAAATCTGCAGCTACTCAAAAAGGAGAGGAGCTCATCCCATGCTGTGCATAAGGAGTGAGGCGCTTCCTACGGGAGTTAAAGAACGTCCCGACCCTGCCTACACTACACCACTGACGGGAGGTAAACCGTCCCGCAGGGTTGCACAGCTGAGGAGTCGACTCCTGCACTGGGGGAGTGTGACACACGTCCCGCCCTGTAGAGTGGAACACGTCCCTGCAGCAGTCACCCAGCTTTCTCGCTCTTACTAACTGGGCAACTGCGAGGGAGTGGAGCTCGTCCTTGCTGCAGTCACCCAGCTTTCTCGCTCTTACTAACTGGGCAACCGCTCAGACTGTACACGAGCGGCAAGAAGACTGCAGGGGAGGCGGGTCACAGCCTCACGGGAGTGGTTAGCTCCCGGGACAGGCTGCCTATTCCCTGAGCCTAGTCGCTGCCGCCAACAAAGCTGATGTTGGTCAGCACGGAGCACGTGGTGGCTACCGGCTGGGAAGTGAAGGTGAAGTTTTCGAAAGCGGAGATTTCGCTTCGCCGGGTGAAAGGAGGTTGGGTATGGACAGTCCTGGGCTGGATGTCCATGGATTTAATTGCAAGGTGCAGAAACGTCAACCAAGAAGGTGACCTTTGGAAGGACTCACGTAAAGATGGAGGTAGACCAAAAGGGTTCTTCAAGTCCCATGGAAGTTGGAAACGTGTCAGCTATGACTGTGAAGATGAAAGAGGAACTCGAAGTTCATCGGATGCGAGGACATATCCCTTTCATGCCTGGGTGTCCCCATTGTCAAAAGACAAGAGGTGTGACGCAACATAGGAGAGGCAAGGATGTGGGTAATCGCCCTGTGGAGCTGCAAGCGGATTTTTGTTTCATCAACTTGGTCACTGGTACTTTTGTTAAGGACCAGCCCAATGCGCCCAACATGAAGATTTTGGTGATGACGGAGATGTCTACCAGAATGGTTGGTTGTGCCCTTGTCGCTTTTGGGTTGACGACTGCTGAATCTGCGGTGTTACTTCGGACTGACAGTGAAACAGCTGTCAGCGCGTTGATTTGCCGAGCGAATCTTGGGATTAGGATTGTGACTCAAAGAGCGCCACCGCAGGGACATGAATCCGTTGGCGGAGTTGAAGAGCAGTTCGGACGTTGAAAGAGCTGTTCAGCACGATCAGGCTTGATTTGCGAGCCCAAGGGTATGATCTGAAGCGCAGTCCGCGCGCGTTTGAATTAGGTTTGATCTACTGTGCTGCAATGCACAATCATCATTCGGCTGCGTTTGATGGAAAGAAGTCTCCTCAGGAGTTGGTTTTGCAGAGACCATTGACTGAGTGTGCATCCACGTTGATCGGGATGACGGTACTTGCTGAATTACCAGATAGTATGAAGAAGACTTCTTTATCGAGATTCGTGGAAGCAGCTTACTTGTATCCAGAAGTTGGTGGCTTGACCCATGTGGTGAGTTCAATGGTGAATGGGACGCCACATCACTACCGGGCGAAGTCGATAAAGCATATCACTCCTCTGAAGGTTGGGGTTGAGCATTGTGGACATTTGCTCAAGGCCTATGATCCTAGCGATACATTGGCACCGCCCATCTTGAAAGAGTTGGATGATGGGATACCTTCTGAAGTGGAGGGTGAAGTCGACAAAGCCTTCGAAGGAAAGGTGTCTCAAGGACCTACCACTGACATGAGTCAGGTAGGACCACCAGCAGCTTGGGTACGAGAGCATGGAGGAACGCCTGGATGTCCAGCATGTGGTGAGAAGCGTGGAAAAGCCAATCACAATGCTGCTTGCAAACGGCGGTATGATAAGTGGTTGAAAGACCAACGTGAGAGGTTGGTTGGTGAAGGGGAGCAAGGGTCGGTTGAAGGTGAACCTGGATCAGGATCGACCGCGGCTCCGAAGGTTTCTTCAGAAGCGAGAAGCTCTGAGGATGCGGGGGTGCCTCTTGCCAGTGCACCTTCGTTGAAGCGTCCAAAGACCAGTCATGAGAGTACAGGTTTGGAGGGCGAAGAGCCCTGTTCGAGGATCCGAGTATTCCTTATGAACAGATTCCGGACGAAGAGATGCCTCCGGGATATTTTGAGGATGAACAGCCTATGGAGATTGACAAGGGAGTGGCTGAAGAGGCTGCGCCCATGAGTGTTGAGCCTGAAAGCGTCTCAAGTGAGCCTAGTCGGGTTCCCAGGCTGTTGGAGTCACTTCATCCAAGATTGGATGCCCCAGAAGGTTTTACCAGTGCCGGTGAGGAACTTGGTGCGCCGAAGCTGGCGAAAGTGGTGAATGCGGTTCTGATTGAGAAGAACACGGTGTTTCCGGAACAGGTGCAGATGTGTGGATCCAAAGTTTGGTTGGCGAAGATGAAGAGTGCGTTGTCTGAGCTAGATGGGTGTCCATTGGACGTCTCGTCAGCTATGGAGGGTCGACGTACTGAGCTTGGAAGCATGGATTCACATAAAGCAGGAAGGATTGTGTCTGCTGATGAGGCACATGCGTTTGCCAAGAAGCATGGGATCAGGATTATCCCTACCCGATGGGTGCTTGGACCCAAGGTTGTGAACGGGAAAGATGCAGTGCGCGCCCGGTGTGTGGTGCAGGATGTGGCTAAGGGTAGTACAGCTTCATCACTAGGTCTGAGTGCGACCATGCCGTCGTTGGAGGCCTTGCGAACTCTTTTGGCCATCGCAGCCAAAGATTCGATGAGATGTGAGTTCAAGGTCTGATTATTACGCCCCGGCGTATATGATTCTTGATCAAGCAATGAACGGACTGAGAGTCGCCGCGAAGGCTTGGAACCTGAAGTTGGCGAATGTGGTGAAGAAGGTTGGGTTGAATCAGTGCCCTACTGAGCCATCGGTTTTTGAAGGAACCGTGAAAGGAAAACGGTTTCTCATGCTCTGTTATGTGGACGATTTGATCTTGTGTGGAAGCTCAGATGCCATTAAGTTGGTCACGGATACTTTGAACCGCGAGCTCAAGATCAAGGAAACGGGTCGCATCACTCCGACTGGAGGAAGCATTGTGTTCTTGGGAAGAGAGATTGAGAGGCATGGTGAACATCTTAGGATGAGAGTTCCATCGAAATACATGGAAGGTTTGTTCGAGACAGACTTTTGCAAGGACCTGAAGGCGTTGAGTAGTCCTCCTGATCTTGTGAAGATCGTTGAAAAGGGTCGCGCTGATCCTAAAAAGGATAGCTTGTTGACGGAGGCTGCTGCGATGCGCTATCGAGCAGTTCTTGGAAGGATTGCTTGGTGGGGCCAGTCTCGCCCAGACTTGGCTCGTTGGATGTCTATTCTTTCCCAAGGTCAGTCGAAGCCTACAGCGTGTTTTGAGCATGCTTTGAGGCAAGTGATTCGTTTCTTGAAAAGCCAGTATCTTTGTTGGCATTATTATGGTCCTGGGAGTGAGGTCCCAGACGGAGGATCTGCCACGCTTGATGTGTATGCGGATGCAAGTTGGGCACCGCAAGCGTCTCTGGGAAGGAGATCAGTGTCAGGAATCGCCATCTTTTACCGCGGGTGTTTGATCAAAGGAATTTCAAGGGTTCAAGGATGTGTATCCCTCAGCTCGTGTGAGGCTGAACTTAGTGCGATTTTGACCGCTGTGCAAGAAAGTGAGGGATTGGCAACTCTGATTGGACAGTTGGCTGGGTCCAAGGTTGAGATTAGGTTGCATACTGATAGTTCGTCGGCAAGGGCTGTGTTGCTGAATCGGGGTCTGAGTCGAAGAGTTCGACACTTGGACATTGCTGTATGTTATCTTCAGGAGAGGATCCAAGAAGCTCAGACGCTCAAGGTCCTCTGGTGTCCTACATCAGCTATGGCTATGGTGGCTGATATCATGACGAAGTGTTTGAGTTGGGAAGTTTTCTTGAGACACCAACAAGCTTTAGGGATTTTTGAAGATGAAAATGTGCAGCAAGTTTGGAGGATTTGCGGAATTCGGTTTACGCGCAGCAACTCTGGTTCAAGCACCACAGAAGCCAGCCCCTCTGCTGAAGTCGTACCTTTGTTGAAGGACGACATGACGGATTCTCAGGCGGATACCCCGAGGGGATCCATGGAGGCACCGTACTGGTGCAAGCAGTGCAAATGGCTTTTTAAGAACAACCATTCCCACGGACTGGGATGGACTGATGAGTACAAGCCCCTGTGCGAGAAGTGCAACGGTGAGATAAGTGTTTGGGGGTCCAATGCCTCCCACGCCTTTCATCTCCGAGAGGGAGAGAAGGAAAAGCGGTTTGCGAAAGGCAACAAAGGGGAAGGAAAATCCTCCCAGTGGGTGCAAGGCGATGGTGGAAAAGGTGATGGCGCCAATCAGGGTGAGAGCCCGATGGCGAAGGCTGTGCCAAGGCCTGATGGACCACCAAGCGTTGTGACGCTGTTTCCGGAGCTCAATGGGAGTGAGGTGCCAGCTTGGTACACAGAGCTCTGGGGGAAGATGGGAGTTCGAGGTGCCCCTCTGGACCAGATGGATCTCCAACCTTTGGTGGAATCCTTGTCGGGTGAGGATGTGGAGTTTTACAAGAAGAGCTTTGAGAAGCTCAGCCACCCGAACTTTGATGTTTATGAACATGGGGTGCCGATGCCTGGCATAGTGATGGCCGTCCTGGATATGAGATCTCAGTACGGTGGAAAGTCGGTCATCTGGGAGACTGCCATGAATGGAGGTTGCATCTACGTTGAAATGAGCCCTGGGTTGAGTGGTTTGGCAGTGCTCATGTTTGTGCAGTACCTGAAGAGGAAAGGGTTCTTGGTGCTTATCCTTTTGAGTGGGCACCAGGACCAAGGGATATTGCGCATGTTGGATCTGCTTTACACACTGCCCATTTTGGGAGTGGAGAGATGCACGAAGGATGATCTGGAGACCACTTCCCATCCTCCCTGGGTGTGCCGGTGGAAAGAGCATGCTCAGAAAGGCAACGTGGTGTTTGCGACTATGTTGCCCAAGGTGTATTGGATGTCTGACTTGACATGCCAAACCATTAAGGTTTTCGACCCGAAGATGAAAGATCTCGGGAAGCCGTTGCCTTTGTGGGCCTACTTTGCCTACACCAACAACGATGTGGTGAAGGAAAGCTTGAGTGTGGATTGCGATCACATGGCGGTGAAGCTTCCAACTGGGGTGCTTGAGAGCATCCGTGAGCCTGTGATTTGGCAGTGTGACTGCGCGTGGCATGTTGCCTCGGACTACGCCAGCCGGTTCAATACGAACCTCCCGTGCATCCTGTGGGAGCACATCTGGAAGTTTTTGGGTGGGAACACTCAGAAGCTGGTGGATGTTGAGCTCAGTGTGGAGCAAGCCGTGTTGGCGGCTGTTGCTGCTCACGACTTGGAGGTTGAAGCTGAGAAGAAGAGAAAGAGGCGAGCGGAACTGGATGCAGCTGAGGAGGAAGCTGCAAAGAAGGCCAGGTTGGAGCAACCATCTCCAAGTTCCCCGCCTGCTTCTCCGGTGTTTGATGGTGCGATGATCGCACAGATCGCTGAGATGGTGAATGCTCAGCAGGATCATCAGATGGGCCAAAGGGTTGCTGAGTTGGAGCAGATGAAGGATGCAGCAAAGGATCGCCGATCCCAGGTGGTTGAAAAGGCCTCTGAGAAGGCTGATGAGGCAAGGGGTGCAGCTGACCCGAAGTGAGGTGCTTGATGACCTCGTTTGGGTGGTGTAGCTGCCTGTAGTTTAGATGCGCCATGGCTTCCGCGCCGCCATGGCCCGACTCCTTTTGTGCGAGCCCTTTGCAATCAGTGCATGTGTTTTTGCTGGAAGGCCTATCTCAGGCCCTGAAGCCCTTCTTTTCTGGAACAGCTGGGATACCGTCTGGAACAGTTGTCACGCGACACTGGTACTGGAAGTTTTCTGCAGAAGCTACTCGACGCCTCTGGTGAAGAGTGGAAACTAGCTGGACAGTCTTCGAGGTCCCTTCGGACCCCACTTTGAGTCAGGTGACCTGGCGGTTTTTCTGCCCTGACATGGTGAGCTGAGACGAGGTCGTGAAGAGGAACTGAGTGTTTCTGAACGGCCCGCTTTAATTAGTTTGCCACGTGTTTGTCACCAAGAACTCTTGGTCTCTTGTTAGTCCAAGACAGTCCTGTGCGAATGGTACAGGTTTGCAAGCCTCTTTGAGCAAAGATCGGCTGTGTGTGTTTGTTTTGTGTTTGTGTGGTGAGTACGCACCAAGGGAATGTGGCCTGGGCATCCCCCTAGTGCTGAAGTGCCATCGTTGGTGCTTTGTTGCCTACTGCGAAGATCTTTCAGGAAGCCCTGAGCAAAATGCGGGGGGTGTAAGATCATGAGTGCTAGCCGCTTGTGAAAAGTACTTCGTCTAGTGATGAGTTGTTTTGCTTCGGGAACGGTTTCAAGGTTTGGATGGGAATCTTGATGATCCCACGATTTGGGAAACCTTCCGGGTACATTTGAGAATCTTCGATCTCAAAGTGTACCTTTGTTGTTTGAGAGGACTCCTTGATGGATCCTCTGTGGTATGTTTGTATCCCACAAGATTTACTCCGTAAATCTCTGTGTGGTTAGAGCCCAATACGCTAATTCGTTTGTTTGAATTCGTTTCCACACTTAGGTGTGAACTCCGACGCACTCCGTGAACGTTTGGCTCAAGCTGAGTGAAAAAGACTTGCAGCTGTCCGCTGTGCCCGTAGTGACTTGTTTCCAAGGGAAAAGGTCTAGGAGGGACTTAAGTTTTTCACGCGCAGCAGCATGGAGCGTTGTGTTCGGCTCTGAGAAGCGGCGGGCGGCAGCCGATGAGAAGAAATCTTGAACGTCGGTGCTCCTTGCTTTGCACAAAGGATCAGCGGTACATGAAGCCGTGCGCCTGGATGGGGCTGCATCCACCATTTAAACAGCCTGACAGGCGGCGCGACCTGTGTGGAGGAGGTTGTCCGCCCAACCATTGAAAGGGAGCCGGGCACAGCCAGCTTCATGATAGACTGCGCTGAATGTGCGTTGGTCCAATTTTGGGTCCGCAGATCGTCTCTGAAGCCGGAAACCGCACCACGGGAAGCAAATCTGGTCGCAAGGATGAGAACGAAGCAGCCCGACAAGTAGTTTGAAGGATTGGTGCCGACATTTTGGTTCAAAATACGGAGTCCGTGGCTTCAAAACTCGGCCCGCGGCACGGCCCGTAAACTGGTGACTTTGCTGCCCGGAAAAGGGTCCCAGAAGCGAAGCCGGAAGTCAGATGTTTCGCTTGCCAATCCAATGCCCTATGGCTTGCCCAACCGTTCTGGACCAAAGCTTGCACGAGCTTGCTGCGACATAGCCTTCATTGCAGAATTTGTCCTTCTCCCAGACAGACAGAGGGGCATGTAAGCTGATTGCATTGTTGTAATACTTTGGAGGGACGCTATGTTGAAGCCAGAAGCAAGAGCATTTTCTGGACCCAAACTCGCGTCCTCAAAAACCACCAGCCTTGCGCGAGTTACGACACGTTTGGTGGGACCTGGTAGGTCCGAGCTCCTCTAATGGTGGGACCCAATCGGGTTCCGTGGGACCGGTGGGTCCCAGCTCTTCTCTACATGGGATCCAAACCGCATGGGTCCCAGCCCTTCTGTACGTGGGACCCCACACTCCGTTTGTTTTACAATGCTTATTAGGGTGAGAGGAGGCGCTCTGTAGCAGGTGCGCGTCCAGCCGGTGTGTGCAACCATTGAAAGGCGGGCACAACCAACCGACCGTTAAGCAGCTTTTTGTCAGGGTTTTCGGCCCTGTTTGCAGGCCCAGATTCCGGACACCAAGCCAGCTTCATGATAGACTGCGCTGAATGTACAGCGCAATTTTTTGCTGTCATTCATTTTATAACTTGCAAAAACTAACCAAGCGTTTTCGTGCAGCTTTTTCTTTGTCAAGGAAAGTATCCATCAAAGCCATGGTCGGAAAAAAGTGTGAAGAAGCGCTGCTTGAAGGCTTTTCAAGAGCTTCAGGGCAGCTTTAATTTCAAGCCTTCCAGCCCGTTTTTTGCCTAGAAAGTCCAGGTCGAGAGTCTTCAAGAAGCTTAAAAGAGGTGAACAGCTTCCACAAAGCACAATTGCCAGAACATGTGGTATCGCAGCAATTCTTGCTCGGATTGCCAATTCTGATTTTGCTGGTTTCTCCTTGATTTTGTTTTTTCAAGCACTTTTTGATATTCTGAGGCTGGTGGAGACTGTCGCAGCTCTTCAAGGGCTGCGAAGCCATTCAAACTTCCGTGACCTTCGTTTCAAGGCACTGAATGTCACAGGCGCAGCAGTGCAGGAAGTCGAGTGAGCAACATGAGTGATGTTTACAATGGCTCATTTTCAGCATTTCAGCTCGCAGACGCAGACTTAGATGCTGTCACTGTCCTCTTGCAGTCATTATATCATGTTCAGTTATGTTGTATTTTCAGATTCTGCCACGTATTTGTGCTTGTGTTCACAAGATGAGCAAGAAGTGAAACGTGTGTGGTGCTTCACTCGTATTCCCACAAATCGCTTGAATTGTTTTTTCTTGGATTTCTCAGACGATCACTTTTTTTGAAGGGCTCGAAAACACAATTCAGCTTCGCCAAGTCCATGGTTGCTGAGCATGAAGGCTTTTCGGTGTGGATGGATCTTGTTTCCACAAACAAACACACACAAGATGGTTTTTCGTGTGGTTTTCGTGAAGAAACAAAAGTGGAAAGGCAAGCAAGTCGAAAACACTTTCTTAATTTCATTCTTCATTTCCAGTTCTCAAAAAACTGTTAACTGTTTATGAATTGCATCGAAGCACGAAAAGAGGCAAAACTCAAGAAGGAAAATTTTCCAGTTAAGCTCTCGTGGCTCCTCGAAATTTTTCTCAAATGTGTCTGGCACATGCAGTGCTGGTGCCATGCGACTTGGCCTCAACCTCCACGGGTGAGGCCGTTTTGAGCGTTTGAGCAAAAAAGACTGCGGGCTATGATGAGCTAGAGCGACTGGCGTTGGGTGCAATGCAAAACTTGTCGTCGCTTGGAAAGCTGAGAAAAGGAATGCGATCAGGGTCCAACCGGTCCGACCGAGACCTGAAATGCCGTGAATGCCTGGTCCTTGTCGCCAATGCGGTGCTCGAAGACGATGTTCCTGACAGGACGAGAAGCAGGGAGGCAAAGCAGAACTAAGAATGCCGAGATCCTGCAGGTGAAAGGGAAAATTCAGTCTGCTATGTGGCAATGCATTGCAGTGGCGACCTGCAGGATTGTGTCAGACTTTCAGAAAAGTCATTCGGATAGAAGTTTGCTGGGTTAGAGCAGAAAGATGTAATGCGTGTGGCGGAAATCAGAATTGTAAGATTGGAGTTGGCGAACCTGGGTGTAATGAAATATTATCACTTTGGGTAGGATCGGAAGTCACATTGGAGCACAAGCGTGCAAGTGTTGTTCCACGACTCGATGATTGTGCCCGTGCACAACATTAATGTCATCATTCGATCATCATTCTGCATTGCTACATGTGCGAGAGCTTCAAGTCAGGTCCCAACATGTGCGAGAGCTTCAAGTCAGGTCCCAACTTGGACCAGCTCCCCCAGCTCCCTCATATAGCTCAAACAGACGTAAGCCTCAACAGGCTTGGTCAGAGTTCACGCTACATGACGCTTTCAAATCTTGATTTCAACATGGCGCTTGGCTGACCCGTAACCGGTCACCGGTCATATACTTTTCGAGTCCTGGGCGGCTGAACGTTCTTGACCAATATGAGCAGTGCATTCAATTGTCCATTCAGTTCAGCAGTAAACAGCTTCAACAGCCTCGGTTGATGTGTCCATCGGTGGCTGCTGCTCTTTCGAGGACTGTTTTCGTCTGTGTGTGTGTCAGAGAGCCACAGACCATGTTGCAGGATGTGCCGCATTCATGCTACGACGATCTGAAAGTTATCTTTGTGTCGCTACAGCTACCAGATCACTGGTAAGATTGTGTCTCGTGGAAATGCCAAAGTCAGATCTGTGAGCTGTGTCCCGGTTTCCTGGTGGCCATTTGCAGGAGCATTCCTCTTCTTCGTTGGTGCGGATCTCTTTCACGAGGCGGGCCTGTAGTCTGCATCGAGAAGCATTAAATTACGGAGTTTGCAGTTTGATCCACCAGTGCTTCACTTCACTGCTTCGAGCCACAAACTGTTCAGCTGCATGCTGCATGAGTGGTGCGACTCAACATGATCGTTCCTCAGGTGCTGGGTGCAGAATCCAGCAGTGTTGCAGGCCTTTGCAGGCTGGGGCAGGGGCTTTAAGAGGTTGGAAAGCTTCGTGTGTTTTTCTCCATTCACCATTCACGATACTTGAGCAGCTTCCCTGTGACAGCCATGTCGATTCGACCCTTTGACCCTTTGATGCAGTGGATGCAGTGCACAGCCAGCATGCTTTTTAGTTATTCTGCAGCCTCAGCCTAAGCTAGGAAGGGCTCATTGCTGGCCAGCTGAAGTGTTATGAGGTCGGAGTGCAATTAGCTGAAGTGTTATGAGGTCGGAGTGCAATTAGCAAGCGAGGAACATAGCCCGATTACATGTTGCCTTGGGATTGCCGCCCTGTGACGTTGACTCCTTGTTGACTTTGCGCCGTGGGGGCCTGGATTCTGCCGTTTCTGCTCTGGAAACCGGAGATGAAGCGTGGAAAATCAGCCATCTTTACAGGAGGCGGCGGTGATGGTGACAACAGTGCCACTGCTGCCCCTGTATCTAAAGTCGTGAAGCAGCACAACATTCAGGACTCCGATGAAACACTCCCCGGTCCTTCATGTCTGCGCGAAGCATTCAAGTGGCCCATGAACATGGTTGCCAGCATCATCCAGGATGATGATCGGAAAAACGGTTGATGGATTCAGCATTGCACTGCACATGGTCAATGACGTCGAACTACTCTGGCCTCTGCACAGAGGAATGTGCTTTCCGAGCGGCCCAGTCCGGATTTCGAGTGCATGCAGAGCAGCTAGGGCTGCATGATGAAAATGACGAGAGGGCGGAGGTGCTGGCCATCGAATTCAACAGTGCTTGTGATGCGGATGGCATTTACCAGGGCTTGGCTTTGGCGGTTCCTGCTGCAAGACAGCCGGAGCATTTCTTCCAGATGTTGGATGATTGTCTGGTAGATGAGGTGCAGCAGCACTTGAATGCAATGGAGGAATCTTTGCCATCGCTTAAAAATCTGGGCAAGGAGAAGGAAGTTCGAGCAGAGAAGCTTGAACAGCGTATTGACAGCTATGAAGCCATGGGACAGTATCTGCTGCAGAAGTGTTCAGAGCCTGGAAGCATAATCAGGCCAGAATGCTTCTGTGTGTAGCACCTGCAGAAATTCAAGTTGAGTGCATCCCGTGCTCAAGCTGAGGCTGCTCAGTCATCTTTAGGAGCAGATGCAGCATCCACCCCCGCCAGGGGCCACTCCATGGAAGTGGCAGGCCTGACATGTGTTGCCTTTTCCTCCTACGGGAAGCACGAGGGGCTTGGCCATGAGTCCATGCGACCTTTCTACACATGGTGTGTCCTCATGAGAACTCGCCAGCCGGTGCTTTTGATCATGGAGTCCACGTCTGCATTTCCGAAGGATAAAGTGCGGATGTTTCTGGAAGACTTATATCATTTGGAGTCCTTGGATCATCCGGGCCCGTGTTTGCACGGATGGCCCATCCGAAGGCCCAGAATGTATTGTTTGGCTTTCCTACGTTCGCAGGTGACCTTTGTGGGGAGTGCAGTTGAATATACAGATTTGTTCAAGAGGACCGTAGAGATGGACGGGAAGGCGTTTTTTTGCTTTCCTGACGACCATGCTGAGGTTGTTCAGGAGCTTCAGCTGCTTTGCAAAAGGCGAGGATTCCAGATGACCGATGAGATGAAACATGAGCCCTGGGACCACCTCTACCCCGCCAATCAGCAGCACATCTTGCGACAACATCGAGCTGCAATGGAGAAGAAACAGAGCGAAGGGGGTGGCAGGCAAGCTTACGTATTGGACCTGGATGAGAACTTTGGCTTCGCGCAGGCAGGGCCATGGTGTCCTTGCATCATTCGACATGGAACGATCCATAGTCTGCAGAAGGGCAGGCGTGCTTGCTTGGCCGAGCTTTTTGCCGCCCAAGGATTTCCAACAGATCCCTACTTTGAAGCATGTTACAGCCCTGCATTCTTGCAAAAGGTTGAGGCATCCGTTGCTGAGGCTGACCCGAGATGGTCTAGATCGTTTCTCTGGTCTCCTTGCAGTTTAAGTTATCCTCAGATATGAGAGGAATCGAAGATATATAAAAGTATATGGGAAAATTTTTCAATCTCCAATCACAGGAATAATCAGTCCAGCAATCAATATCATATTGCAAAAGAGGAAAGGCTTCACTCGGACAGGACTTCTTTTTGTTCTCCGTTGCAACGGGGGTTCTGCTACCGGGTTGATGGCGAGAGAGGGCGAGCACAACCCCTCGAAGTAAGGCAAGAGCAGCCGAACAAACAAACGGCAAATGCAGCCGAACAGAGCAACCATCTTCCCCCAGTCTCACAAAAACCGTATTGAAACTATGTCGGGCGGGTGGGTGGTCGAAAAATTTTGGCAATCTCAGCCTTGAGCACGCCGCCGGGTGACATGATTCAAAATCGCACAAGTATCTACCGAATCATCATGCAGGAAATCGTGATGCAAAATACAGCATCAAAAAGGCGATGCTAAAAACAGCATCATCGCATGACAACGGAATCTGTTAAAGATCTCGAAAGTTAAAACATTGGTTTAAACAATGATGTTTGAAAACTGCAAGTGCGCTTCGCCTTTGGCTTCGCTAGACCAGGATAAACATAACTGCGCTCCGCTCCGTGGGACGTTTCTCTGGTCTCCTTGCAGTTTAAGTTATCCTCAGATATGAGAGGAATCGAAGATATATAAAAGTATATGGAAAATTTTTCAATCTCCAATCACAGGAATAATCAGTCCAGCAATCAATATCATATTGCAAAAGAGGAAAGGCTTCACTCGGACAGGACTTCTTTTTGTTCTCCGTTGCAACGGGGGTTCTGCTACCGGGTTGATGGCGAGAGAGGGCGAGCACAACCCCTCGAAGTAAGGCAAGAGCAGCCGAACAAACAAACGGCAAATGCAGCCGAACAGAGCAACCATCTTCCCCCGGCCCCGCGATCGGAGGATGCATCGAAACTCACTGCACAGCTTCCGCAGCCCAATCGGCTTCCAGCCTAGCCGACGAAAGAATCGCCTGGGCTAGCTTCGGCTCGTAATTGGGAGCACGAATGAAGTCCAACATCGTGTCGGTGGCTGCCACGTCCCCCTTGTTTATGGCTTGAAAACGATCACAGGCCTGGGCAAACAGTCCCCGCGACGGAAGGTCCGCCGGGTTACTCTTTGAGGGAACCCGCTCAAACCACATAAGCGCCTCCATGGAGCTCTCCATCAAGGCCCCCAATGAGATGAGGCGCATCAGCGAAGCCGACGGCGAGTATCGCTTCACGAATCCATAAAGGCATGCATTGTTGTCGATCCAAGCTAGGACCGAGCGACCTTTGAGGAGGCCGCGGATCCCGAACAAGGTAATCGCCAGAGCGTAGGCTTCAACCTGGCAAATCACTTGGGCGCCAGCCTCTCTGCCCCAGTGATCCATCAGCGGTTTGCAAACTTCTCCCCCGAAAACCCATCGGGAGCTCGTGTAAGCATCAACAAGAATCGCTCCCCAGGTGCCTCGCCCTTTCTCGAAGGCCCCATCCGTGTAGAGCACTACAGGTGGCAGAATCGTGGCCGGGCAGCGCTTCGGCCTGCACTGCGCGATGACATCCAGAGCAAGCTCACAAGCTCGCCGAAGCTCAGGCGTGTTGCCCAGGAAGGGCCCTGACAAAGCCCGTGTCAGCATCCGGGAAGTTGGCTTAAGCTCGAAGCCCATAATCAGACCCCCGGCGAAGTTAATCAAGCCATGAAGCGAAGCCACATCACTTCTCGTCACAGCTCCTCCCTGGGCTATTGCACGAAGGAGTGCGGCAATTTTCTCAAGTCGTCCAGGCTTATTCTCAACCTTGAGAGTGCCCTGCCATATCTCGTCAAGGCCCAAAGAAACACCCAAGGAGACCACCTTGTTGTCAAAGGGAACAAATTTCCGCCCACTCTTTGCATAGGACCACCCAAGCAGGTCAAGCAGCCTCATCAGGACTTTGTCCAACAAGAAAGCAGCTGGGCGAAATTCATACACTGTGTAGTCGTCATAAAAGTCAGTCGCGATCGCAGCGAACTTGACAACCATGATATGAAGGATCGCAAGTGCTACTTTATTGAACCCATACACGCTGGCAGCAGCACCAAAAGGCAGGCTCTGGGCTATGTAAAACTCCCACTTGCCCTGTGGGTTAGGGAAGCCAAGGACAGCATGCTCCCTCGTGGAAGGGTGGATGCTCACCTGGCGGTAGGCCTTGCTCAAGTCAAGTGTCTTACCAAGCAGAGCGGGCTGGCGGAGCATCTCAGGATCCCAGTCCCCCTCAAGCAAGGTGCCATCAGACAGGGGGACCCGGACGTTGGAGCGATCTTGCAGCACGCGGGAAAGAAACCTCAGGAGGCCGACCGCGTAATCCGTATCCTGAAGCTCTAGGAAAGAAGAGGAGCCGAAAGCCTTGTTGACTGCGGACATCTTAAAATCATCGATTATCCTTATCTTGGCGTCTTCACCCTGCCTCAAAAGGAAACGGGGGGAAAGCGACCAAGCGTCGGTCTTCAAGATGTCGCTGACTTCCTGCTCCGTGTGATATGGACCCGTGAGGAAGCCCGCTGCCAGCTCCTCGGAAGTCTCAGCCTTCATCGCCTTGTAATCCTGCTCTGAAGTAAGCCCTTTCATCTTCTGCAATGCACGCCTCCGCAGAGCGGCCTGGGTTTTGAGCTGATCTGGCTCAAGGTCTTTAGGCTTCGGCCGTTTGGCAAACAAAGGGGACTCGGCTTCTTGACCGACCAGTGGCACTCCTTCGGAAAGGAGGTTCACCACCGCCAAGTCAGGAAAGCCCGTTTCCTCAAGAAGCTCGCGAAACAATGCTAGGGCCTTGCCTTTGGTGACTCGCTCCACGTCCGGATGCATCTTGGCTCGCAGCTCCTTCTCAGCCGCAGAAAGCGCCGCCATCCGGTCATTCAAGGATTTCAGTTCAAGCATCCGCCGCTTGGACACGGCCACAGGGCCTTCCGTAAGAATGGCAAAGATGTTGCGACGCACGGCATCGGGCAAACGAGTGCTATTATCCGCCGGGCTAGGTAGCTCACATGCGCGATGCAGGTGCTCCTCCATGGAAAAGTACACACCTGCCAAGTCCCCGGCTTTACCGTCTTTATGCGTCCGGACCCTTTTGGAAGGATTCGGCTCATCACAATCCCCCGCACTAGAGCCGCGGCCTTGGGAGAGGATCTTGAAATCAGCTCCAGCCGGCACTTGGGACAGAGGGACCCTAACCCGAAACTCAGGGATTAAGGGAGGCATAAAAGTGGGCTGATTGGCCGCTGCCGCTCGCACCTGAGCTCGAAGGTGCCGGCTATGCAGGAAGTCAACCTTGTGGGGCTGCAATCCTTTGCAGGCAGCAGTGGCGGACCGACAAAGTGTCTGGCACAACTCAGCAGGAAGCGAGGCATCACTAAAATTCCCAGCCGTCGAAGGAGGAACCCAAGCTTGATGTTTATGGGACTTATCACAACACCGACTGAGGCCTGGGAAGGAGAGGGACTCAGCTCGGACCCGCAGCGAGGTCAAGAAGGGGGCACCGAACATGCAAGTGTCAAGCTCTTGATCAGCTAAGGCGAAGAACCATTGCAGAAAACCCGAATGCCGCCTCCTTTTGACAAAATGGGCGAGGAGGCTCCAGACCCAACTCCGAGCCGGAGCGATCAGGCTAACGAGGGCTCGAGTTTCGTAGGCTCGGAAGAGCAGGTCGACCACGGCTTGCACCAAGCCGTTGTCACGCAGCACCAGGGAGGCGGCAAGAGCGGGAAGGCCATCCCGCCCTAGCAAGTGAGAGGCATCACGAAGGCTGGATCGACCTCGGGAATCACGCCCCTGATTGCAAGATTTCAAGAACAGATTGAAATGCCACCAGTCAACCAAAGTGTTCCGGTCGAAATCGAGCAAAGCTTGCAGATCATCGCCAGTGGAGAGGTCCAGCGGTACTCGAGGGCAGGACTCTGGGGCACCGCCTTTGTGGCCCAGGGACAAGGCATCCCATCCAGCCCGCATGGCGGCGGCCGACAAGGATCCCGCTTCCGCGAGGCAATCAACAAGCAAAGGCGGACGGGGGACCGAAGAGGGGCCCTGTTTCGACAGGGAGTTGCAGCCCTCAGGGGTCCCGGACGAAGCTGAGGCAGCACTGGGCCGCTCGGCACTGGGTGCCTGGCAAGGTGGCGAGTTGGTCTCGGAGAGCTCCGATGGGGCGCAGGCTCAGGCTGTGTTGAAGGCGATGCGGGCGTCTTCAAGGGGAGAAGCTGCCTCATCTGTTCCGTGACTGAAACCTGCTGCGAGGCGCAGGCCTCCTTGGAAGCAAGATGCGAATCAGAAGGCAAGGGGAAACCCAAATCGAGCAGGACCCGGCGATCGGCACCTGAGAGGCGCCCTCCGGCCTGCAAGGCAAAAAGCACTAGGACAACCCGGCGCCCAGTGGCTGGCAATGTGCGATGTTCGAACTCTCTGGCACAAAATTTGACCGGCCCGCGGGATACTTGCAAATCCACGGTCCGATCTGGCTCGCTTACCCGGATAGCTCCCCCTTGGAAAATGGTCAAGGGGATCACATAGTTCGGAGAAAAGGCGTTCTGTGAATCTCGGTGTGGCCGAGTGCACACCTGATCAAAAATGGCAAAACTCGTGTAAACGGCACCTTCAAGCAAAGAGGCTACAAACCTGTTCACCACTCGCACCGTCTGTGGAAAAAGCCTACAAGATTTGCGAAGGCTCACCTTAACTCGAGAGTACATCCCTGCCGAAACGGAGCGCCCTTCGGCGTCTCGGTCGCACTGCTCATGCGGCAAGGCATCAAAAAGCCTCATCACTTGCTCAGCGGTAACAGGTGTGCTCTGAGCTAAGATTTGCCTGGCGAAAACCTCGGGCGAGGGCAAGGCTAGTCAATGCTTGCACTCACTGTAGGGCCTTTCGGCCCCGCACCCTTTGAAGTTGCACACATGCTTTCCGAAGCGGCACGACTTGCGTTTCTGGAAGCGGCAGATCCCCTTGTTGTAAAACGGGCAGATGAAACGGCCATCATCGTTGGCCCGCACGCAGCCCTCGGGCAACGACTCCAGCAGCTCCTTCAGGGACGGTTGCGAGGATGCATCAGCCTGGCCTTGGCTGTGATTCTGCTTCCCTTTGCCGCGGCCTTTGCCCTTGTTACCCTTCTCTCCCTTCTGATTGCCCTTGTCGGGTCCCTTATTCGGCTTCCACGGTTGGGCCTGGTTCTCGGCAGGCTTAGGAAGGTGGGTCAGGCAGGATACCACAAACTGATTGGTTGCAGCAGCGGCTATGTGCTTATCAAGAGGAGCCGGGGCTCCGACCCCGACGACGATGTCACCTCGGCTCTCCTGGGCCACGACCTGCCAAAGCTTCTGGTCAGCTGCGAGCAGCTGCTGAACGGTAGTGTAGCGATAACCCGCCGGAGGCACATCAAGCAGTGCCTGGAACATGCGGTTGTGCCAAGACTCCATTGCAGTGTAGGAGGCAAGCCCTACTTGATCGAACGCTAAGGCCCGGCGCAGGAAGCACCGGCGAAGCTTGAGCTCGCCGGTAGTCTCGCAACGGAGACTCGAGGCTTGCTTCGTAATCTTGATGTTCCCATCGGCTCCCAAAGAGATCTTTTGCTCCGTCTTCTCTCCCAAGATTTCGTCATGGCGGGAAATGCACTTTTCCGGCGCGATGTGCAGCACTTGTGCAGAATCGAGCATGGCCTGGACGCGGTCCACAAGGCCGTGTCCAGGTTCTGTGTGGATATCCATCTCGAGGCCTTTAAGCTCCCCCCTTTGGCGTTTCAAGCGTGTTAGGCGTTCTGCCAACGGAAGCTCGCGGGGGCTTGTATCACTTGTTCTCGAAGCCCTCGATTCCAAGTCAACCAGGGCGTGGGCGTGGCTCTCGTACCACAATCGCCTGATCACCATATGTTGTTCCACTGGAACCTCACTCCCAATCAAAGTCTTCAGGGCTTCGAAGAGAGGAGTGTCATCCCCGCTGGAAGGTTTGCTCGAGCACACGAAAGCTAGCTTGCCGAAGGTGTCCAAGCTCTTAGCAAGGAGCTTGGTCAGAAGGTCCTCGCTGATGCCGATCTGCTTTGCTCGGTCGGTGAAGGCAGGCACCGATTCAAGTCCGGCCATGAGACCTGGGCAGGTGAGGATACAGGTTTCGAGGTCTCACCCACGGCGAAGTCAACCGTGGGTCGCGTTTGTCTCGGATTCACACTTCTTCGCCACCGATCACAGGCGGCCTTCGGGAACCGGCGATCCCAGCCGGTCGCGTTCCAATAGTATTTTTCATGACTCAGGCCGGCAAAGGCAGCCGACCACGGGGGTTCTTGCAATCTCAAAGCCCCCAATCAAACTCCCGCTAAGTTCAAGCCTGGGTGCTCACCAGGCCGCGCGGGAGATTCGCCCCAGTTTGGCAACTCCCAGCCAAAAGACTGCGGACACTTCTCAGTCCGGTTTTGTGCTCCGAAGCAAGAAACACTCCACTGATCTCAATCGGCCCGGGCACCCTCATCTCAAATGGCATAGGCACGACGTCGCAAATCAGCAAACGATCAACTGAGCACATCCTCTTTTCTTCAAGCTGCGCACTGCTGGCAGACATTCTCCTGAGCCTCCTCAGGCCCCATCAAACGCATGTTCGCCGTGACCTTCCTGCCGCACTTAAAAATTCCGGGGTTGACCAACTTATGCACCACTCCACTCAAGACGTGCATGTAGGTCTCTCCCGAGAACGTGCAGCTAAGCCGTGGACGGACCTCCTCCGGGGCCGGTGCCCCCAGGTCCACTTCGAGACCGTCGAGGTTCGTTATGTCAGACCCAGCCTCGGAGTTGTTCTCATCCTGAGGCTCTTCGGCCGGCAAATCCTCAGCCGTCGTCTCAGGAAGATGTGCAAAATCGGCCGGATCGCCATGCAGAGCTCTTGCGACCCTCTCGGCTCGCGGGAGATCGGGACTAAGCACTCCCCTGCTCACAGCACTCACGACCTTGGCCACCTTCACTATGATTTCTGCAAGCGCATCTCTCGAGTACAGGAGAGCCATGCCGTGCTTTGGACTGCAATGATGCCCCTGAGTAAGGCGCTCCTCGTAGGTCATGGTCCCGCTCTTGGCCGTCCAGGACAAGGCGGTTGCTTTCAGGCTGTGTGAGCTGTACTGTTCAAGATCTCCCGTGAAACCCTGCAAGTGCAAAAACTCACGAAGCCACAAGGAACCCTCCGCAGCCGTCATGGCCCTTCCTAGAAAGTTCCCTCCCGGCGACATGGCCGGCATGATTACGGCACAGTCCGGTAGCCCTGCCAGGGCCCTCTTGCGCATCCAGACACGTCCCCATGAGGGCTGAGTTAAGCCACTGCCCAGTGCAATCAAAGGCAGCACGGTATCCTTTCGGTCCTTGGCCTTCGTCTTGTAATGTTTTGTCGAACACTCAAGAAGGACAAGCCCGTTACCTGCCACGTCAATGCTCAAGTCAGTCCCTCGAGCTGCATCCGACCATCGAGCCGAGGAGTAGAGGCAGAAAAGAATGAACCCTGCTATGCTAGCCCTGGCATAATCCTCAGAGTCGTGGACGAATTCTTCCAAGAGCCGCACTGCCTCCACCGGAAGGGGCGGAGCTTGCCAGAGCGGCCGTTTGCCCATGGACATCGCCTTGGCTGCTCCCTGCACACGAGGGGAAATCCTGGAGCCTTGCGCAGCCCCTGTCAAGTGCACAAAGAACCTATAGGCCTTGAGAAAAGACTCGCCGGCAGTGGCTCCTGCTTTCTCTCGTCGCAAGTGGAGCATATAAGCGTACAACTCGCCCTCGGAAGGCGCCAGAGGGCGCCCTTTGCTAGCTACGATCCACTTGGCGAACCTTGAGAAATCTGAGGCACGCTTCAGAAGGGTGCTGGCGGCTCTGCCTGAAAAGGTGTCCTCGATGGTCGAGGTCAGCATGGATTCCTCCACCAGGGAGCCTGCAGAACCCACAAGGTTCCTTCCAAGCTCCGAGTCATCCGGGAAGAAAAGCACGATGAGCCGAATTTTCTTAAGTGCGGTAAGCCTAAGCATGTCATCGCTTTTGGCAAACCTTGCTGCGAGAAGTCGCCTGGCCTCGTAAGTTCCTTTGGGCACCCATGCCCACGGCCCTGCTGCAGGGGCGGGGATCGCCGCCCTCCTAAGACCGTCGAAGCGACCTAGCAACGGCTCCTGGAACATGAAGCCGGGCCCCAAGCGGGGCCTCGTCACTCTTTCCCACGGCATCGCCTGACGGGAATGCCTTGCAAGAATGAAGCCTGAGTTCATGGCATGCCAATCACCTGCACTGCCGCCGTAGGCAATGAAGCCTGCAAGCTGCTGTTCCAAACGGCCTGCAGTCGGGTCGTCGTCAGGGGGAAGTTGTGTGTCCTCGCGAGACATCAGGCCCCCCAGTTGCTCCTCAGTAAGATCATCGCCCTCGACGGGGCTGCTCATGAAGGCCGCTAAGGGACCCTGATCAGGTGTGCCCTCGACCACAGCCGAATGCGGAGATATTGGGCTGGCAGGTATGGCAGACAGAGGGACCTGCTGACCTGATTCCACAGACTGCGAGACGGCCCCCTCATCCGGATAAAAAGCTTCAGCACTCATCCCCCGCAAAAGAAGCTTAAGACTCGGAGCGAAACACCTGATGCAATCGCTGCACAAGCCTTTCCAACCACCCCAGGCGGAGGGAATGTTGGTACCTTTCAGTTTCCAGGCCCCGGAGCTCGCGCTGGACGTCGCTGAGCTCTGCACGGACAGCACGCAACTGCTGTTCAAGAGAAGCAACTTGCAATGAAAGGTCGTACAAATGTTGGGAAATGGCTTCTTGAGTGTCACTGGAAGCAGAAGCCGAAGATCCCGCTTCAAGGGCCTGGCGAAAGTCCATCCGAGCCCCAGCAGGGCTCTTGCACGGTGCTCTAAGAGCAACACCGGATTACGGAGGACTCGGGCCTGTTAGACGCAAAGCTACAAGCCTCTAGAGAGCCCCTTCGAAAAATTTTGGCAATCTCAGCCTTGAGCACGCCGCCGGGTGACATGATTCAAAATCGCACAAGTATCTACCGAATCATCATGCAGGAAATCGTGATGCAAAATACAGCATCAAAAAGGCGATGCTAAAAACAGCATCAATCGCATGACAACGGAATCTGTTAAAGATCTCGAAAGTTAAAACATTGGTTTAAACAATGATGTTTGAAAACTGCAAGTGCGCTTCGCCTTTGGCTTCGCTAGACCAGGATAAACATAACTGCGCTCCGCTCCGTGGGACAGCTTGGCACCAGATGATCGGTAATGCCATGTTCGTGCCCACACTTGGCTCCATGATCTTATATGCACTGAGCAGCGTAGAGTGGCAACCGTCTACTTTGCTCAAGATGAGGTCAATCTTGACACTCAGTCTTGGAGACAGTCAGCCTCAAGGCGATGTGACAGAAGACATGGAAGCCGATGCTGGATTAGGAGACTGAGGCAGTCAGGGCTGTTTCGGCAGTGCAGCAGTGATAAAAACGTGGTGAGAATTCTTCTGCTTCAGAAAGCTTATTCAATCGTTCAGCGTATACGTAAGATACTGAAACTTGTAGCTGCTGTGCCACTGAAACACTGCCCAGAGACTGCCAGAGCCTGCTCAGAAGTGGCAGGCCGAGAGGACCATGTTTAGAAGTTTAGAATCATCAAATTTGAACTTCGAAGGGCCGGAGACCAGGGCTTTGCTGGCCCATTGCCGCTGGCACAGGAGCAGCTCAAATGGAGAATCGAAGCTTCAAGCTGCAAAGGCGGCAAAGATGTATAAGGAACAGCAAAGGCAGATCCTCCGACCATGCACTCGGCGCTGTACGTGGTGTGCAATTAGGCTTCTTGTTCCTGTTGGAAGTACATCAATAGGCAGCAGAGTCAGAGCGATCAGGCAGTTGTGAGTTCGGACAGGTTATGATAGGAAGTCTGAGCAGCAGCCGTTGATTTTTCTGGCGGTAGTGGACGTGGATACTCTTTGGCACAGGTGGTCACGGCGGTTTCCTCGTTCTGCAGGCAGGCGATGAGTCTCTGGAATGGTGTCGTCGCAAGAAACAAACCACATTGAACTATCTTGTGTGTCTTTCGTTTCGAGCACGCAGGCAGCAGGAATCTGAAGAAGCACTCCGTCGTTCTGATCCCAAGTGCCCAGAGCAATCACACTGTTGGAATACTCTACAGGCCACTATTGGTCTGAGCCTCGAGTGGGCTTCGACGTGAGCTTGGTTGTCTTCAGTCACCAGCTCAGCTTGATGTTATGTCGTGTGCAGATTCCAGCCCTGAACCATCATAGCCGAGAGGGATATAGCAGCTGGTATGCAGCGGCAATTAACAGGGAAGTGCGAGATTATCAGTGCGATTCCACGGTTCCACAAATGCTTCAATCACGTCACATCAGTGTTTGCATCAGCATCCGGAGCTACCTTGAGGCTTCATCACCTTCCTCATTCTTTGACAAGGGAGGCGTGCCCTCTGTCCGGCTGAAGTGAAGGGACCCCTTGGCCTCAAATGTGATCGAAAGGGAGACAGGTGGAACTTGTGTTTAGGTTTTTCTGAAGGAGCATTTACCTATCATGATGGAGATGGCTAGGGGCATGGGCGCTTGTCAATTGAGGCAAGCACTGCAAGCACTGCGACCATACCGAGTGGAGGGTTTGCAGGTTTGCACGTGCAGCGAATGAGATCCTAGATTCAGATCGACCAGACTCAGTGGTACACATTTGGTCATGTCGCCACAACTTGAGCTTTGCACTCTTTGTCGTTGCATTGCACTGACATCAGTGATGGCAAGACTTGTGGCTTCAATCGGTGTAACGGTCATTTGCTTCGAGGATCATGTCCGAGATCGCTCCTGAGCATTCCACAGCGACTCCCGCAGAGCCTGAGAAGTGGCAGGCGGAAGAGACAGAGCGGAAGGCGAAGGGGATGAAAGCGAAGTAAGGCATCCATGGCCAGGATCAGAAGGCGCTGGCAAAGTCGGTGTTTGAGCAGCAGCTAAACCAGCTTTCTGCCGAACCAGATGAGGACGCAGAGATGTAAGACATGGAGTTGAACATCGAGGACGACATGGATTTCGGTTTGGGTGCTGCCGCAGCCGCATCCGCGAATGTGCCGGATAGCTCAAATCCCTTTGCAATAAAGCTGCGGCCGCAGAAGCACACGCGGCCTAAGGATGAGGACCTCCCCAGGGTGCCGGAGGAGGACGAAGCAGCTGGCAGCTAGGGCGCAGAACAATAAGCGGAAGTTCGAGCGCATGTCTGCAATTTGCCTGACAGTCGCTGCGATCAACACGTTCCTCTTCTGCAAAGTGTGCAAGCGAGATGTGCAAGCTTGCAAAGCTGATGCGGAAAAGGACGGACGTTTGGCCGATTGGGCTCGTCTGACCAAAACAGCAGAAGGACTGCGCCACTTGGTCCTCCACTACCAAAAAACGTGTCCTTCGCGTGGGCAAGGAGTTCGGCGTGACTCCTTCGACTGGGCCAGCTACACCAAGAAGGTTTTCACGGTGAAGCAGTGCGTCACTGGCACTCTGAAGTCGTACATGGACTGGATCGACTACGAGAAGCATGCTTTGTCGAAGGGTTTGACGCCGAAGGATGCAATGGACCAGTGGCAAGTGGCAAGCGTGGGAAAGTTCCAACCATGATCACGACTTCAAAGGCCGAAAGGACCACGAGAAACGCTGCGCGGTCCCGATGCAGGATTACATCCGTGAAGAGACCATTACCGGCCAGAAGGAGGACGGACTGTTGAAGGGTGGGTTGCAGCTAGGCTAGACACCTGACGGGACGAGTGTTGTTTTCTGTTCCCCGTAAATGTTGGTTTGTCCTCAGTCATCTCAGTCCTTATTGCATTCGGGATTTGGGAATCTTCATGCTTCCTGTCGGAAGCGCAGAAAGAGCTGAATGAAGTAAACTGATGTAGGAGTCCTACAGAAGACCAGGGTCAGTCCGGAAGTGCCATTGACCATTGGGTTTAGTGTATGGTGCCTGAAACATCGCAGGAAATCAGCCATAGCAGCAAAGTCAAGAAAGGCAAGGAGGCAGAGCAACTGCTCGAGGGATGCGCAAGTATGATCCGCAGGGCAAAGGACGCTGCCGATGGGTTCGACATGCAGCCATTCAATTTCGCCAAGACAGCGTCTGCAGTGGAGGCGGCGCTTGAGTCTTCAGCGGAGAAGAATGGTGGCCTGGGTTGGGAGGCCAGTTCGGAAGCCCAGCTTGATCTCGACAACCTCAGTGTCGCTGAGTCAACCCTGGGAAAGTTGGTCCAGCCGGCGAGGGAGATGCTGGTCAAGGGGGTGAAGAGAAGGATGACAGGGGCAAGGGCAAACCCAAGATTAGGTGACTAGGGATGTTGGTCGGTTTAGGGTGTCCAGCCTCGAAAAGCAGCGAAGGGCTGTCACCAACATCGAAGCCGAGGCTGTGAATGCCCTGCAGACAAGTGCAGAGTCCTTGGAGCAACACGAGAGCTTGAAGGGTCAGTTCGGCCATGTCTTTGCCATCGTGCAAGTGCGCAGGGCTTTGTTGGATGCCCTGACCAAGAAGTCCAACAAGGATTTCCAGGAGCATGTCGAGAGTCTGGATGCAAAGTCCCTTTCCTTCCAGCCAATGCCCAGAGCCGTCCTCGTGCGAACACACGTGTTGGAGCAGTTGCAGGATGCACTTGAACGAATCATGCAGAAGGAGACCAAGGAGGAAATCGAGAACCTCTGTTCCTGCTTAACCCAGCAATGTGCAATCCGCATTCAGCTCCGGAACTCCTTGAAAAATACCACCCGAGACGTTGAGAATGCAATTAAGGCTGATGTGAAGAAGAAGGAGCGAGATGCTGAAGCACCCGCTAAGAAGGCTGCCAAGACGAGGCAGACCGCAGATACAGCAAGTGCAGCTGCTGCACGTAAGGCCACAGCCACAGCCAAGGATTCCGAGAAGGGTGTGACCATCCTGAGCACCTTTTTTGAGAAGTTGAAGTTCACCTGGTTCCCGAGGTTTGGCGATCTGAGCAAGTTCAAGGCCAAGATCGGAGAAGCCATGGAGTCGAAGGCTGCAGGTGCGGACCCGACAGCATTGCACCCACTTGTGGCCGCGGCGGCCAAGGTGGCTACTGGCAGCATGCCGTTTGTGATCTCCAGCGTGCCGGACATCGAAAAGCTTGTCAAGGAGAGCCCACGCCTCCGATGCATGGTGACGAACTTTGGACATCAGTTCTCAGGAACACAGCTGTGCAAAGTCACCGGTCGAGTTCAGTGCCCAATGAAGAAGGACGACCCGCCACACAGCTACTTAAGATGATGCTGGAGGGCACCCCTTTCGCAAGGCCAATGCAGTGCTGGCGGAGCCGGTCTACAAAGACTTGGAGCCCCTCGTGTTTCAAGCATCCTTGTTTGGCTTCACATCTGAGGTGTCTTATGTGGGGTTCGAAAAGCGTGGTTTGGGCCAACTCCAGTATGTGTTGCAAGGCAGCAGGCGGGTGATCACAGCATCGCCAAGGGCCGTCATGGAGCGGATGGGTGGCCAGGGCAATGCAGCCTCATGGGTTACGGACATGATCAAGCTTCATGTATGCGGGGATGCCGGGTCGATCATGTACATCCCGCTGGGGTGGCTGATAGCAGAGGAGGTGCAGAACGGCGAGAAGGTTGTGGCCTCAGGGTCGGCATCGTGCCGGAGTGTGAAGATGAATGCGTGAAGGACTTCACATCTTTCGTCGATCTGATCCCTGATGGCCATGCGTATCAGAAGCAGGCAAAGTTGGCTGAGAAATGCATCACACAGAAAGCCTGAGTCGCCAAGGTGTTTCGCTTGAGGTTATGGGTGTAGCATCAAGAGCAGGGTAGGCGACAGAAAACGACATGGTTGCCATCCTGTTCTTTGATCACGGGGGTGGGTCGTGCGCAGTGCGCGGCAAGAGATTCTCTTCAAAGGGGAGGACAGGATGGCACGATTAATCACGGTAGCAGTGACCTTTAGATTACTGATTACTGCTGCTGTGTCCTGATACCGGCGCTGCTGCTGGTGGAGTCTCTTGCTCACGAACTAGAGAAAATACGCTAGGCCGCTAGATACGATAATTGCACCGGCCATATCGCCAGGTATCGTAGCAACTTGTGGCAACCCAGACTTTCATTTTTGATGATTCAACGGGCCCTGACACGGCCCGGAGACGGAGAGGACTGACACAATATGAATATCGAATATTGCTTCGATTCCACACTTGACTATTTGGGTTTCGTTTTCAACGGCCATTCTCAATGTCACTTCAACCTTGGGAGACTCTGTCATGCAGCTTGCCGTGTGATCGTGCTGCGCAACGATGCTTTTGGGCGTGAATGCCTTCGATGTTCCACTCGGCCGTTCGTTGCGAAGCAATTCTGCCGGAGTCTTCATTGGGGGTTGGCTGGCTGCGAAAACCAGTCAAACAGCGTTCCTGTGCATCTGAAAATGGGACTTGCAAGCGAGCCTCACACAGTCCTACAGTGCATGACTGGGACGGTGAAGGTGAGACCAGTTAATGTTAGGGATGAGAAATCAGAAGCGTGTAGTGTATTGAATGCGGTGGCACATGACGAGTAATTCTGTTGCAGCTTTAGGCCTGGAACCTCTGTAACCTCGGCACATAAGATACGTGAGAGACATTTGCCATGGGTAAATGTGCAGTGCTGGAACTTTGCCACGTTGTGCGAGCGACTTTTTTGGCAATTATGCCCGGTAACCTCACCGAATGAGTTCTCGTCTCCAGGCTGTGGAGGAATCCAGCTGCTAGGGCGTCAGCCTATTTGCCAGACGACGTCCGTTGTCTGGCAAATAGGCTGACACCCAGCACAAGGAATCCAGCTGCTAGGGCGTCAGTCCATTTGCCAGAGGACGTCCGTTGTCTGGCAAATAGGCTGACATCTAGCACAAGCTTCCTCCAGAAGCTCAATGACAGGCCTGGAACGGAGCAGCTGCACGCCGTAAGTACGTCTTGAGCTCCGCACATTTGCCAGTTGCCAGCAGCGGGTCAGGGCATTTGCGAAGTTTGCGATGCGGCAGTTTTGCGTCTCGGTGTTTCGCGTTTTGCAGCAGAAATTCGTGTGTTCGACCAGGACCACAACTTCAGTGCCCCGATCTCAGCTTAGGAACGGCTCGACTGGTTGATAGAAGTTTGTGGTTCAGTCGATTTGCCAGACGACATCTTTGTTTGGAAACAGCAGTTCGCATGGAGTCGTGTTGAGACGAGACTAGGTTACGATCTGAGCGACTCTGTTTCATCTCACTTCGACTGCTTGTTGATGCAGGGTAACAGATAGTTCAATTTTCCCTCATGCCCATTTACATACAGGAATCCAGTGTTTCACCGCAGGTCAAACATAGGCTCAAGACAGCCCGACAGCGGAGCACGGAGTGAGAAAAGAATCCAAGCTCGCGCCGTGGTTATAAGAAGTATACTGGTATAAGGGTTTAAACTTTCATGGTAGCGGAGCTGTTGGCAAAGGCCAGCAGCTGATCAAGCAAAGATCCAGGGAAGCCAGCTACGAGCTGGAAAAGGTGAAAAGTGTGAAGCAGGAAGTTACGGTTTACCAAGAGCATCCTGCCGGAGAACAGCGAGGAGTTACGGCTAAGCCAAGAGCACCTTGCAAATTCGGAGAAAAGCGTGGAAGTGAAAGACCTTGAGCCAGATACACAAGGACCTGCCAAAGTGTTGGAAAGATGCAGGAGCACCAACAAGCTCAACAAGCACAGCAGCCACCGGACCCTCAGCAGGTAAGGTTGGAACAGCTGATGACTACGTTAGGTCAAGCTACAGAAGCTATGGCAAGAGTTGCGCAAGGAACAGCAACGCAACAAGCGCAATTGGCAACAGCAATGGATGCACTGGCGAAAGCCCAAGCATCACCGAAGGCAGCCCCCTCAGGCAGCCAACCAGCCTCAGTAAGTTTTGATACTGGAGGCAAGATCCTCAAGCCACCAGAAGCGTTCAATCCTGCGACGATTGAAGAAGAAGTGTCACAATGGAGTGACTGGTCGTTTACGTTCAAGAATTTCTTAGCGTTCATGGACCAAGAATTCCTGAAGGACTTGAAGACAGCAGAAGGAAAAAAGACTGTGATAACATCGGAGGTGACAAATACATTCTTTGACAGTGATCAAGCAAGAGTGAACAGAGGAACGAAGCTTTACTCAGTGTTAAGCAGTTACTTGAAGAACAGACCTCTGAAAGTGCTGAGAAGTGTGAGCGGGATGAATGGATTTGAAGTGTGGAGAAAGTTGACGGCTGAATTAGAGCCGACATCTCGTTCAAGGAGTCTAGCAATGGCGCAAGCATTGGTTGGATTCCCAGCCATGAGCAAAGGAGCATCGCTGATGGACTACGTCCTGACATACGAGAAGCTCACAGCAGAGTACGAAAAACTCTCAGGGCAGAAGTATGATGACAACTTGAAGATCGGTACACTGCTGAAAGGAATTCCACAGCACCTCAAGCAGCATGTGATGGTTGATATCACTGATAAGACCACGTATGAAGAGTTAAGAGCAAAGCTGCTACAATATGACAATATGAAAGAAGCAATCAGACATGGCCAGCTGAGAACATCTTAGGATCATTGAGTGTTCCAGACCCAGCGTCACACTCAAGCAACAAGGCTTATCAAGGACCAATTCCAATGGAACTCGATAGATTGCGCATGAGGAAAGGTAAAGGAGATGGAAAAGGAAAAGGTGACAAAGGAGGAAAAGGAAGCCCTTACGGAAAAGGAAAAGACAAAGGAAAGGGCAAAGGATATGGATACGGAAGAGGAAAAGGTGGTAGAGGAAGACCAAAAGGAAAAGGAATGGCTCAAGTTTTCGGCTTGAGTGCCAGATTTTGCGGCGTAGTGAGTGCTGTGCGAACGGGCTTGGGGCTCTCAACCGGCTGTGCGACCAGGTTCAAGGCCTTCATAATCCCAGCTTTAGCCTCCTTTTGAGCCATAGTGCCCTGGCTTGGGAGTGGTTCACCCCTTGCTTTCTTGAAGCCGCAGTGGATAGGGGCCACCATCCACCCTGACCGGCTGGAATACAGCAAGGAAGTGAGCAATCACTCCTTAGCCATGGGCCAGAATCTAGAAGCGCCAGTACTTCGTCTGCAAGTGCGGGGCGTGGACGTGGGCAGACAAGGTGCACAGTAGCCCGTACTGCCAGTGCGGCAAGAAGTGGCCGGCACCTGCTCTCAAGCAGAACGGCAGCCCGCGGCCACCGAAGGCCCCCTCGCCTTCTCCTCAGCGCGGCGCCGACAAGAAAGAAAGGCGCGAGGAGGAACGCCGCTTGAAGCGCGCCGTCACGACAATCTGGGACCAAATCCCGGAGGATGCGCGTGCGCGCCTCACACAAGCGGGATGGAAAGGACCTCCCAAGCAGAAGGATGCGGTCGAGTCCCAGACCGACCCTCTCCTGAGCCTGTTGAGTTGCCAGAGGACATCCGCACTGCGCTGGTGGAGGCAACCACTGGTCCGGAGCCGTCTCCGGGAGAAAAGGCCATGCAATCCAACAAGGACCTCACCAAGGCCAGCTCCCGCCTCCGAGTGCTGATCCACAAGAAGATCAAGCTGCTCGAGAGCATAGAGGAGGCGAAAGAATCCCTCCGCCTGCACCAGGAGACGACCGAGAAGATCCACGAGGCCGAGAACGCAGTGGAGAAGGCCAAGCTCGAGCTGAGCCAATGGATGTGGACGAACTGGTCACCATCCTTGGCCTGACTCTCTCAGAGGAGCAGCAGGAGAAGCTGGCCGAGCACCGCGCAAAAGCCCAGAAGAGGCAGAGGCCTCCTGAGGTTGGGGCGCCCCCGGGCTGCAAGGCACGCAGCCACCAGGCCAGCAGGGAGCCCCAACCCCTGCCAGCTGCACCCACCGGCCCAGCGAGCCGCACCCCCCCGAAGAACGGGGAAGGCCAGGCTGGCGAGGAGGGGGCAAACAAGCGTAGCACCGAGTAGGGCATGAGCCTCCACGGCGGATTAGGGAGTGGAAGTGGGTTTCCCACTCCAGAACTCGCCGACCCCTCAGGGTTCCGGCCCGCCGAAGCCGGCAGTTTTGCAAACTACCACCTGGAGCCCAGCCCTCAGTGGATAACTGTGTTAGTGGCCCCAGGTTCTTTCCCCCCAAACCCTGCATGGCCACGCCATTGCAGTTTTTAACTGATTCGGAGGTGACCTTTCCCTCCCAGGTCTCCAAACCCACCAGATAGGAAATCGCCGGTTTCGTCATGTCCTCAAGGCACGCCCGATCCGCCGATCCAACGCTGTGTTTTGGGCAACTTGGCAAGCTCCCCAGGGCGGGAGCCCAGCCCAGGACCAAGATCACCGTGAAACGCCGGGGCCAGAGACACAGGTGCTCTGCCTACAGGATGTTGCAAATGGCTGCTGTCTGGAAATCAGTGACTACCTCAAGGGCTGCTTGAACTGCTCGGGGGTGGCCCTCAGGCCCGCGGAGCCTCTGCTCCGGACGCTTTCTCCCAGGAGGAGTTTCTTCCCGCCCCCGCAAGCGGTACCCTTCACCAACGAGGGAGGGCCCTCACCCACTGAGGTTCCAGAGCAACCCTCGACCCAGCCGTACACGGGGCGACGCTCCCCCGGGGGACTGGGCACCTCAAACCTGGCAACCCAGACCAACGCCAGGACCCCTCGGAGAGGGCCCCGGAAACCGCGGCCAAAAGCCTCAGTACAGGCTTCACCTCTGCAGCCCATTGCAGAGCGGCTCGCCCTCGCGTGCACTGAGGCTGAGAGCCTCGAGGACGCCGAGGAGGCCATCGTGGCTTTCGGCGAAGCGGTGGAGTCGGAGCCTGAAGGCAGTCTCCCTTACCGCCTCGGATGGGATCTCCTCGAAGGCCTTCAGGGATCGCAGCAAACCTGCAGGGGCAGGCCTGTGGGGGCATGATCACGGAGGAGGGCTGCGGTTTCGTGGCGGTTGCCCTCCCACGCCTGCGATGGACCCTCATGGTGGTCTGCGTGTACCTTCAAAGCGCAGTGGGGCTCCACGGAGGATGCAACCCGGAAGTCCTCGCGGCCCTTAGGCCGGCGCTCCGGGATTTCCGCACTGGAATGCACCTCCCTCCGATTTTCAGGGCACTGCCTGGGCCGAGACGGTGGGAGGAGCTCTCCTGGCGCCTGAGGGTCCTACCATCAACACGGGCAAAACCCTGGACTATGCCCTGGTGGCGCGGCCGCTGGCTTCTTTAACCAGCATCAAAACGATTTGGAAAGTCCCTTTCTCGCCCCATGCCGCGGTCTCTTTGACCCTCGCGGTCCAGCACGGGTTGGTGGCGTTACCCCAACTCGCCGGCCATCACAGGACCCTGCGGGATGGCTCCCGCCGATCCGGCGGAAATGGCCCCGGGTCTGGGGACGATAGGGGCCCAACCTATCCGGGCGGACCCCCTTACCTGCCGATTTGCGGGTGTCACCGCCGGGATGGCGGCACGCCATTTCACCACCGACGGAGGGAGAGGCACCAATAACCTCCAGCACAAGCCCCTCATGCAGCAAGATTGGTCCTACCCGTGGCGGGGCCGCACAGCTGCTTTCTGGAGCCGCATGGCCTCTTTCTGGGAGCACCCGGCAAAGCACATCCGGAAATTGAAGTGTTGGTGAGCACCATGCCGCCTGAGGCGGTGGAGGCGACCACCCTCCACTTCACACAGCAAGGGATTGAGGCCTCCTCTCCCCAGGATTTCCTCTGCACCCTTGGGCTGTCAGAGGGGGCCCGTTCCACCACCCTTGCAGTGGTCCGCCAGCTCCGCGACGATGCGCTGGCCGAATGGCTCGCCACCGGCACCCGGCGGGGCATGCGACCGTTGTTTCGCTGCCTGTCTAAGGCGGAGACCAATGTGGCGAGGCCCTTCGCCGAGGTGACAGCAGAGTCGCGGCCTTACGAGCGACTCAAGTACTGGGCCATTCTGTGGCAGGCCCGGGGAAGGCCAGCCCCCTGCCTTTCAGGGCTTCGCCAACAGGCCGTGGAGCAAGCACGGCAGCCCGCGGTCACGGGGCACCAAATGTACCGGTACATCCGCTCGATGCCGTGCAAGGCCCCAGGGCTTGACGGGTGGGATGTCCCCTTTTTGAAATCCCTCTCCATCGAGGAAGTCCACACCCTCGCCGACCTATGGAGGGAGGTGGAGCTGGAGGGCGTCCTTCCACACCAAGCCTCTTTCACCCAGTACGTGATGCTCCGGTGGAGAGGCCAATCGGCCTGATGTCCACCTTCCTTGAAATTAGGCATTAAGTGCCGGTGGGAGCTGGCCAGCTCGTGAATCGAGGCAAACCGGGCCTCTCTGTGGTGGGATTCGGCCCTGCCATCCCGCACCCACGATGCATCCCTTCGTCGCACGTTTCTGTACGAAGCGTGCAAAGTCGACAAGGTGCCGCGCACCATTTTCTTCGATTTGAGCACTTTTTATGAACGCGTGAGCGGGCTTTCCGCCGCTTCTTCTCAATTTAGGGATGCAAGCCTATCGTGGCGGTCGCATCGTGACTGCCGACTCCGTCGCATCACCTTGCGTTTTTGCTTCTAGAGGAATAGTAGCGGGCTGTCCGCTAGCTCCTCTCCTTCGAAGCTCTCGATAGGAAAGCCGATCAGGGCTGCCTGCGCGGGCACCCTGGCGGATTACGTAGGGTGCTGGGTGGACGACGTCTCGGCCGACGTTGTTCACAAAACCCCGGAGCGCGCAGCCACCGGGATCGTTACCCTCTTTCGTCGCCTCCACGAGGTGCTGGAGGCAGAGGGCACTCCGCCAGAAGCTGGGGAAGGGTGATCTCCCGGTGCGCCAAACCACCAAAGACCTTGGCATGGAAACGGCAGCCGGACGGCGCCCAAGGTCATAAAGAGCCTCCGCTTTCAGGCCGCGCAGGTGGCCAGTCGGGTGATGACTGGCAGCGTGGAGGTCGCGCTTGAGCTTGGGTGCTCAACTAAGGACCCGCGCACCTCCATTGGCCAGCACTGGGCGGCCCTCGGCAAAGTCCTCTGCGCGCTGCCGGACCGCGAACAGCTGGAACGCACGTGGCGTACCCTGTGGACGCAACTCCAGCGGGAGGACCGGTGCAAGGTCATATGCGGGCCTGCGGGAGCCATGATCGGGTACCCTACTGGAATTGAGGGTTAAGGCCTCCTCCCCTCAGCGATGGCTTTTCCCGGAGAACTTGTGTCCCGCCACGATGGCCGGCCAGCAGGGGGCGCACCAGGTGGCTTTTAATCCCCTGGACCCCGTGGCCCACCAGCCGATCAAAGCGTGCCTCCTCGCGTTGGCGGAGAGAAGGCGGCACGAGGCCATCAGCAGGCAGACTGGCTGCGAGGCGCTCGCTTGGGAAATCGACCTCACCATCCCCAGCTGGCCAAGGGCAGGACAAGCAACGCCCGTGCCGTATGGTGCACCAAGGGGCAATGCGCTCCCGGCTGATCCGGTCTGGTGAACAGTGTCCACTATGCAGGGTTGAGCTTACTCCCCTGCACATGACTCAGGAGTGCCTGGCCGCATGCCGAAGCCTGAGAGAGAGAAGTGATGTGGGCTTCCTCAGGGCTGGAAAGTATAGAGAGCCGCTCTCCACCCGCACCGGCCAACTGGGTCCGACTCTTTTCTCTGTCCGGGGCCTCTTCCCGGCAACAGCCTCCCAGCTCCGCGGGTACACGTGGGGCGCGGAGAGCGAGGAGGTCACCGGGGTGGCAGCTCATAGGGAGTAGTCCCCTGAGTAGCTCTTTGGACGGGACTGCGGGCGGCAACGACCCCCGCGGCCGCGTGGCAGCGCCAAAGAAGGCAAGGGCCGGAGAGCACCGCCTGAGTGGCTCTACCGAGTCGACGTGGAGTGCCGGGCAGGAGGGCAGCTGCAGGTCATAAGGCGCCAGTGCCAGGGCATGCAACCACCAGGGAAGTCCTGGAAAGCACCTCCCCTGTGGTGAGTGTTGATATGCTCTGGTGCATCGCGTGTCGTGTCCGGGCACCGAGCCCGGAACACACACAAGCACACCTCATAACGGCGGTCCACATGCTGGCCGTCGCAGAATACCTCGCCTCTTCAGAGGGCCTTCCGAGGGCTAGAGGTATGGGATGTTCCGACTCCCTCCAGGACGTGTCACACTCCTCGATGTGCTGCCCTGTCAGTTTTGCCGCGTTCCCGCCCTGTGTCCTGCCTGAGACACACAAGCTGCTGCCTGCGCGAGGCTTTGTAGGGAGTGAGGCCTCCTACTCCCTCACCGTCCTCTGATGGTGCCATTTTCTGCAGCTTGCTTTAGCACAGTTCTTCCTGCTACTTTGCGCTGGCGGCCAGTTCGCTCTTGCAGCCTGCTCTGCACTGGGGTGCTGTGGACTTGGCAGGGTGCAGGTTCCCTCCCCTCTCACCCTAAACTCGTCTGCAGGCCGTGGGCCCCGCGCCACCTGAGAGGAAGATGAGGGGCGGCGTCGTCCCTGCGCATAGTCGATGGGAAGCGTAGGCCCTGCGCTTTATCGAAGGGCGTAGACGTTTTAGGGGCGAGTTGGTGGAGGGGCCTGTGGCCTTTGTGGTGCTCTTGCCTTTAGTCTTTAGTCAGGAGGCGGTTGCCCCTCCACCCCTCACTTGGCGCTTGGCGTGTCATTGAGGTTTTTGGTTTTGTTCTCCCTCCCTCCCAGCAAGCGGCTCGTTTGAGTTCTGCCATCTGGCGGGTCGTGCTGGTTGGTGTTTTCAGCCCTGTCGGGCGTTCTACAACTCCAGTCACCATCACCGGGACCATCCCGATACGAATTCCCTTCATACAGAGGCATCTTCACTCTTTCATTCTCACCCTTTCAAACACCGTCCTTAACACCACATTGAAGGTATCGAGAAACTTCTTGGCAATCACTGTCGACCCAGAATCAATGAGCCACCAATTTGCCATCTCTTGCCTTTTCCTTTGCCCTTATCTTTTCCACTCTTGGCTTTTGTCTTACCTTTCGGCAAGGGCTTTCCATCACCCTTCGCGTTCGACGCATCTTTGCTTTGATCCTTCTTTGCTGGAGTCCAGCAGTCTCGTTCCCTCTTTCTGCAGTTCCAACACTCCACATTGCTTCGATCTCTTTCCTTTCTTACCTCGAGTTCCCTTCTCTTCACCACCTTTTCTTTCTTATCACCTTTGTACGGATTCACTGTTGCACCTCATACTTCAAAGCAACCCGCTTGAGATCCTCAAACGAATCACTGTCACTATGAAGCAAGCAGAAGCTTCGACACGTCTCGCGCAAACTTTAAGCACCATGACTAAATCTGCTCGAGTCCTTGCGAATGCACATCCAAATCCAAACTGCCATATCCAGTCGTTTCAAGTGGACTTCTCATTCTTCCGTTCTTGCACGTCCAGACTTTGAGATCGAAGATTCTCAAATGTGCTCGGAATCATCAAGATTCCATCTAAACCTTAACAATTTCATGCGGTCTTGGCGTGTATTATCATGTTTGCTTCGCTTTCAGTTCTTTTCACGTCAAAGAAGATTCTTTGACAGGTCAAACTCTTACTACGTTTAGATTCGAACCAAAGAATAATTCATTTTGAGTAGTTCGAACACAGAGTTCTTCCAAACAGATACTCGCTGCTGGGGCAACAATTCAACACTAAAAGAGACGACAGCAAAGCTCACTGACCACTAATCACTCTTAGTGTCGGACTCAATGCGAGTTAAAACATTCGCGCCATCGTGTGAAAAACGACAAAGGTTAATTACTGCGATTCAGAAAGCTGCCGTGCTACTGTTTTGGCCTGGGCAAGTTCAAACATCTACATTCAACGGGACAGCAGCTCTGCTTTCAGGATCTTAGCGACTCTGCGCGCTTCTACCTGCTTGCGAAAGACAATCAAGACATCTTGTCGACACGCAGACAACACCACATCTTTGCATTCTGATCGAGGTGCTGCCAGAAGTCCGGTGTCGAACTTGTCGGCTGGAACGGAGTATGCATCCGACTGGAAGCTTTGTGGTGGTCCAGCTGGCTCGCCGAACGAACTCTGTTGGAGGTGTGTTGCCACTCGCGCCAGGCGGGCCAAACGACAAAGTCTCCAAGCAACGGCAGACAAGGAAGAACCATTTGTTTGCGGCAACTCCAAATTTTTGAGAGAAGAAACTTCTACGTCGACTGCAGCTTGCACACCACCTATACGGCTCATTTGTCTTTTAGCCGCCGGTTCTTTTTGTCAGATCGCCGATCCATCCTGCCAAGATTGCAAATTTACTCTTTGGTCT